ACATGACCCAGCTGTAATTTCAGTGGTCGCATTGGTTTCATTTTTGGTTTGCTTGTAGGGCGCTGGCACCCGCCTTCATTGATCTAGAAAATTTGGCACTGCTGTGAATAGTTTAGTCGCAAAGTGAAGATTCACGGGTAAAAAGCCCCAAACTTCTAGATAGGTTCCTTTTCAGCTTTCAGCAGCCCTGGGCGAGTTCTTTAGAGAAATGTGACCCTTTTTCATGGTGCTCTTGTCTATGTCCAGCTAACCAACGAGATGAGGATGGTCATTGTCATTTTCTAAGCTGCGAACGGGCAGAAAGGTGAGAAAATGTCGGATTCTGACCATTTGTGCTTACCTTTCAATTTCAACGTACCTCTCTATAACATGACCCAGTTGTAATGTCAGCGGTCGCATTGATTTGATTTTTGGTTTGCTTTCAGGGCGCTGGCACCCGCATTCATTGACTTAGAAAAATTTGCACCGCTGTGAATCGTTTAGTCGCAAAGTGAAGATTCACGGGTAAAAAGCCCCAAACTTCTAGATAGGTTCTTTTTCAGCTTTCAGCAGCCCTGGGTGAGTTCTTTAGAGAAATGTGGCTCTTTTTCATGGTGCTATTTTCTATGTCCAGCTACACAACGAGATGAGGATGGTCATTGTCATTTTCTGAGCTGCGAACGGGCAGAAAGGTGAGAAAATGTCGGATTTTGAGCATTTGTGCTGACCTTTCAAATTCAACGTACCTCTCTATAACATGACCCAGCTGTAATTTCAGTGGTCGCATTGGTTTCATTTTTGGTTTGCTTGTAGGGCGCTGGCACCCGCATTCAGTGACCCAGAAAATTTGGCACTGCTGTGGATAGTTTAGTCGCAAAGTGAAGATTCACAGGTATAAAGCCCCAAACTTCTAGATAGGTTCTTTTTCAACACATTAATACTCAGCACAGATTCAATGGCTTTCGCATGATCTCTCACAAAGTGCGGAGTTCCACGGCCCCTACTGTTTCTGATGATCGCTTACCGTAAAACTCGGAGTAAAAACACTTTTTCGTCCTCTCATTATTGTTAGAGTGTAAACGTAGTTAGAGATCATTCCCAGTGCTTAACGTACTGGGATGGTACACTGACACTGAACCAAACCTAAATCATGCATTTTGAAGTGGTGTGAGCCAGGAAAATTCATGCTGACATGTAGCAGTGGTGCTGATGGCGACAGCAGTAGCGGTTTGATGTAAGGTCACTGACCTTGGGCTGTCCTTGCTGTCTCGTCTGGGATCCTTAGCCACCTGAGAACACACGAGAGAATGAAGAAGGCGGCGTATGGTGCCAGAGTCAACCAGGTGGAGAGAGCATCATTCACCCCACTGTTTGTTTTCAACCTCGGGTGTGGCGGGCAAGGAAGTCACTATATTTCTGAAGTTGCTAGCTGCTTTGGTTGTGGACAAAAAAACAAAGACTTGGTATATTCTGCCGTGAAGGCCCGTGATGGGTGAATTACGCACCCGGGTTTCGTTTTGCCTGCTGCGATTGGCAGTCACGTGCTTTAGGGGTGCAGGGCCTCTTACATTCGCCGCAAGTTCGGGAGCCCCTTTGCAGCATATTGCCGCCGGCCGACTTCGCCTTTGCATGCCGGTAGGCAATCTTACTAGATAACGATTTCTTGTGAAGCTTTTGTGTTCAATCTTACATTTCAAATGAGTGTTCTATTTATTTCCGAATTTGGGTTGTCTTTTTGCTTTGACTCTAAGGGATGAATTTACTGTCAGGTTTTTGCATAGCAGTTTTTGCTATGCAAAATCTCAATTGTGGCGTAAGCTACAAAAAGGCATGGATAGCCTGTATGTGTATGTATGGCAGTTTTCTGTGTGTCACTGTGATTTTGAGTAGCAGTAGATCGATTTGGCGTAGCAAACTGCGATGCGATACCGGATAAATTCATCCCTGACTCTTACTTCATGGTTTCACGAGATTGGCCCAATTGGTGTTGTGAATAAACCCATTCTCAAGCAGCAGCTGTGTTGGTGGCTACAGCAGCAGCAGATGCAGTGCTGGTTGGGACAGCAGCAGTAGCAGGGGTGCTGATGAGGACAGTAGCAGAAGGGGAGGTGTGGGTGGCGAAAGCAGCGGCAACAGCAGTGGTAGTGCTGTAGGCGACAGCAGCAGCAGCAGCAGCAGCAGTAGCAGCAGCGGTTCTGGTGGCGACAGCAGCAAAAGCGGCGGCTGTGGTGGTGACAACAGCAGCAATAGAGGCGTTGCTGGAGGCGACAGCCGTAGCAGCCGTGATTTGGTGGTGACAGCAGCAACAGCAGCAGCGGTAGCGGCAGTGTGGGGCGACAGCAATAGCGGCAGCGGTGCTGGTGGTGACAACAGCAGCAGTAGAGGCGTTGCTGGTGGCGACAGCCACAGCAGCAATGGTGATTCGGTGGTGACAGCAGCAGTAGCGGTGGTGCTGGTGGTGACAACAGCAGCAGTAGAGGCGTTGCTGGTGGCGACAGCCACAGCAGCAGCGGTGATTTGGTGGTGACAGCACCAGCAGCAGTAGCGGTGGTGTGGGTTGTCAGCAGCAGCAGCAGCAGTTCTGCTGGTGGTGACAGCATCAACAGTAGCGGCGGTGCTGGTACCAACAGCTAGCTTGACCTTGATTATTTTTCAGTGATAAATTTAGCAGCATTCATGTCCAGGTAACCATGGTAACTAGTTGTGTATTTGTACAGCTATTTTTCAACCTCACCTTTCTTCCAAGTCCATGTCTCAATAAATCCGTGAACGCGCTAGAAACCTATCCTCTTCCACAGATGTAGCATTTCAAATTGAAGGTAGAAATAGCGAACTGCTGCATTCCTTCATAAGTACGTTACTTACGGACTAGGCACCACGCTTGCCAATAACCGGCCTGTTCTGACCACTATGTTCTGGTCACGTAGAGGCAAATACTAGTAGTAAGATTGTGAATATAAATTCTAGCTTGCTTCACCACAAATAAATTTTAGCTTGCTTCGCCACAAATAAATTTTAGCTTGCTTCGCCACAAATAAATTTTTAGCTTGCTTCGACGAGGAAACGCTTGCAGTGTAGATACTCAGGATGACATAGTCTGGTCGAAGGCAGGAAGCAGCAGCACGACGACAAGCCTCTGGCTCTACTCCTACCGCTATACTACTGATACTTGAGTCTTTACCTCTTTAGTTTTTACTTCTCAGCTTTGCTGCTAGCTCGGCGTAGCTGTGCTCGCTGTGCAGATCTGTGTGACTGACTGTCTGTCCGCAGAGCTACAACAAAGCTGTATGTAGTGGGCATGATTACAGTTGGCCCTATGCCAGGCTATGACCCATGTGTTAGGCGGCAGTGCAGTGCGCAGATCTACGCTTCCGCATGTCCCGCTCATGCAGCTCAGTGCAGCTGCGAGCTCACTGCCCACTGCCACTGGTCACCGCCGCGACCTGGTGACTGGAGTCGTTAGTGACCGAAGCATGCATCTACTCTCACGCACGCACTCTCCGCTAGCGCTACGCCTATGCATCGCATGTGCTTGGGCAAGTAAGTAGTAAAGTAGTTGGGGAGCTTGGTTGTTTCAGGCTTCGATTGAGTCACACTGCACTGTCTGTAACACGGTAACCATGACTTTGAGTTTTGACTTCCGCTCCTGGAAGCGAAGGCCAGATCCCAGCCAGGGTTTTCATAACCCTGGCTGGGATCTGGCCTTCGATTCCAGGAGCGGAAGTCAAAACTCAAAACCTGCAAGGCTGCATAACTTATGCAGGGCCAGACCCAGCCCATGCAGGGCCAGACCCAGGCTAGCGATTCATGCCCACATGTAGTAATGTTGTAGATCTACTTGTACTAAGGGGCCGTCCGTAAATATCGATGTTTTTTTAGAGACGATATTGGTGCTTCTCTCCCTTGACCCCCCTCCCTCCCCCCAGAAGACGCACATGTACATCTAGATCATGGAATCAATATTTTTGGATGCTCATGAAGTGCCCAGGATGTTGAGGGTCCGGTGTAGGCGTGAAAATCCCGCCGCACTCACGCAATAGCTGCATCGCCTGGGGGGAGCGAACCGGGTTGGCGCTGCAGTGCTCACAGCCATCGTGTACTGGTGTAGCCAAAGCGGCTACGCTCGGGCTTGAATTTTTTCAAATCCTTGTTCAGACAGTGAAGACTGCAAACTCTTGTGGAGTTCGTCCGTGTTTGTTCGCACTGCCTCTACGTCTTGAAAAAGGTCTCCTGCAGGCATCGTTCGGCCGATTTCCACAATCAATAGCTCATTCTTTTGCTCTTGAAATTCGCCATGGGCGTACAGCTTCCAATTTCTGATTTTGTTCTTGTGTCGCGAGTTTTAGCTCCGCGAACGGAAGCTGGTTTCACATTTCTTGTATAGCCATTTAGACGTCCGCGTGCAGGGATCGGCGAAACTTCAGATATTTACATCGATATTTTTCTGATGCTCGAAAAGACGCACATGGCTCAAACCCCCTCCCCCCCAGACGCACCAATATCGTCTCTAAAAAAACATCGATATTTACGGACGGCCCCTAAGGAAGTAACAGTTGTAGATCTACCATGTGTACTGCCGTGCTAGGCAGTCTGGCCATGGCCCAACAACACAATCATCATGGTCATGTCGACAGTCTTTGCACGCGTAGACCACTGACGCACTGTCTGTATCGACCTACGCGTCGCGCAGACGTCTGTGGTAGCGTATACCGTGTGTATACTGACTAGTGACCATGGTGACAGTACTAGTGCAGACCTACTGACTCAGTGAATGTCAACAGAGTCAGTCTGTGTAGTGATGGCTACATAGACTAGTCATATACGAATACTAGACGCTTGTGGCTCAATGTAGCTGAACCATAGGACCTTATTTGTCAGCTCGGATCACGTGACCTACCCAGCTGCCGCGTGCGGCAAACAGCACGGACAGAGCGCTAACTCTGGCCCACGAGCGTTTTCTGCGACTAGCGCGCTAGCGCTCGTGACCTGCACAAATGCGCAAGCCAGAATGCTTTGACTTTGATGGCTTTCAGCTTCTGTTTTTTGAAAAGTAGCGCGCTCAGACCAGCTCGCTCACTCGTTTCCTCTTCAAATTTTTAGGGCAATTGTTTGAAAGACGAAGCTCATTCAGGTCTCCTTGGGTTTGCAACCCTTACCCTCCTAGAAAAAAATCATAGTTGCTAGACTACGACACTTCAGACCTGGTACTAACTGTTATTAGAGCCGCTAATAATGGACGACGAGCTATTTTCCGCTATCCGGAGCTCAAGCATTTGAGCCGCAAAATGGACGAGACTCCTGGGGGAAAGGATGCAGAGAATGAGGAGAAAACACTCGTATGGAGCAGGGAGTAGGTATTGTACTACTTCCTGGTATGGAGCACTGAGAAGCGGTAAGTCCTAGGGCAATTCTTAGCCAGTAATTACTTTCTCGCTATAATTATGTTCTCGTTTTTCGTGTCTTCTATCAGTCCAAATATTCACTCCTGAATCCTCCTGCCAGACAGTATACTGCATGTGATAGTCTAATGCCAGTACACTAGCAGTACGACTACACTGTAGGCGAGAGTCCATAAGCCAGAATGTGCAGCTCTGCATCTATGCTGCATAAAAAATTCATGACAATTTTCCTTTGCCTAAGGGCTGGGTTCCACTGCCGCTCCGCCGCACATCATCCGCGGCATGAAACGTTATCATTGCGAGCTGGTGCAGCGAGGCCGCGGCTCATCACCAGCTTTTGCTTTGCTGCTTGATCAAAAAATGCAAGCCGCGGTCGCGGCTTGCATTGTTTCCCGCTCTTAATTGTTTTATACGGGGGAATTTTAAATTTCAAAATTTTATTTCGTTGCACAGGCCAGAACAGGAGGATTTTTTTGGGATTGCGCGCGCATGCGCGCAGGCAGGCAAAATGTCATCAAAAAACGTCGAGCACAATCGCGGAAGCGCGAATGGCGAGTGTCACCGGAACCGCGCCGCTCTGCTGCATGCAGCCAAGTGCCGTGGAGCAACGGAGCTGCGGAGCCGCAGTGGAACCCGGCCCTACCCAAACTTCAATAGCAATTTGAAATTGTACTGTTGGACAATTTTTCATAAAAACTTGGCAGCATTGTTCTTCTGTAGGGTGCCGCTGGCAACTCCATCGATGAACTCCATCAATGAGCGAAAGAAGAACAAATATGCGCGTAACTTTCCCTCTAGTATCGCCCCATCAAAGCCACTCGCTGACTACTTACCAGTAAAATGGGGTTGGACGATTGTCAGATTAGCGGACATGTTTCAGCCAACACAACCATAAGCAGTTGTCAACTCTCAAGACTAAAAGAGCTTGCGAAGAAAGTGAGAAACCTTGGCTATGAAAGCACATGAAGCGTCAGAACAAAATCGTGCAAACTTGGACCTAGATTACCAGTGTCTGCTCCAGAGCCGGGTCAGCGGCCCTGTTGGTGAGTACTTTGACCTTTTGGAAAAGAACACTGGGTTACCTACGACCCGTTTGGGAGTCCTGTCGAGTACTTTATTTTTAATACTTCGAGGGGTATACCGCCACTGATAAGTCAGTGATATGACAGGCTGCAGACGCGTGCAGATGCGTGCGGCCAGAGTGCCCAGTGCGAGTACGTTCATACATGTACATGTACAATCATGTACATCAGGAAGTCGAAAGTAAGTTTACGACTCTCTGACACACAGTAGCCGCACTTGAACGCATCTGGCCCTGGCCCAGTGTTGCAGGAGTTGTGCCAGGTAGACGTGTACCCGGTTGGTGTGAAATCTTAGAGCAGGTACTGAATACCCTACCATATCTGTGTACATGGGTATAGAGTCAGTGTTGTTGCGTCCCACTCAGCACCCTACTGGTTCATTTCGGCACCAGCACTCTTTGCGTATGCAGAGTTGAGTAGAGTGCAAGTTTGGACCACAAGTACACTGTAGCAGCTAGTAGCAAACCTAACCTGTGCCGTGATGCACGGTACGTGTGTGCATCTACTTCATCCCTGAGTAACACACCTGGTATATGGTGCACAATAGGGCACAGTAAATAATCAACATGCATCGCAGTTTTCTGCAACATATTCCTGAAGTCACTTTACACCTCAGAAGAATTGCGTCGCTAACTGGAATTCGATACCGGTTTTGTTACTCCCTGGGTCATTATGAATCATAGAAAACCCGTCATACGATAGGTTCAAGCTAAAGTACTGTATCACCATGGTAATTACCTGGAAATTCGGTGTGTTTTCTGCCTTTTGTTAAACAAGCAGCAATGTGCAACAGAAATTACCATGGTGATACAGTAGATGACCGTGTGAAGCGGTGTGAGATGCAGCAAAGGTGAGCCTGTTACTGTGAGCCTATGCCCTAAACAATAAACTTTGCCGTGGGATGATTCTCCTTGGGCTGCACACTCTGGTTAATGTACTCTTGGTGGCAGCATTTCTGGTGCCAGAGACGATATTTTTTCAGAAAAATAAGTAGGGCTGAAACAATTATACCGATAACTCGCATATCGATCGTTAAGAGTGCAATCGATAATCGTTAGTGTTCAAAACGAGTGCTAACAATTTTTTATGCATGTATATGAGTGACAGTATTCCAGCCCTTGCACTCCATCCGATAGTGAATACGAGTACAATTATGTACTTTCAAGCGCAGTAAAATTGATTTGTGGCTTTGAAAGAGATCGGAAGAGAGCACTCTTTGTCTTTTCAGTTCATTTGCGGGAAAGGTCAGAGATAAGAGCAGTTGCCAGAGGGTGATCACAAGATTCTTCCCTCTAGAAACAACATGAAATCCTCTAGGTCATGTTGATAAACCAGCCAGATGTCTACAGATGTCAACAGTGCGGTGCCACAAATTTTTAACGTAGCAAAAGTATCGTGGAATTTTTTCATAAACTGGTGTTCGAGGTACACGGGTAGAGCCGACAAGAATCGATAAAACCAATATATCGATCGTTAATGATATTGGTTGATCGTTAATAAGAGTTATTGAATGATCGTTTCAGCCCTAAAAATAAGCATTAGAGAAATGGAGTGGGAGTAACCTGACTTATTCTGTTAGCAGAGCTGCAATGCTTGGGATCTGAGTTTATTTCCGTAGCTATGCAAAAGACGCTATTAGTACTTTAGTAGCGTCTGGCGCTAGCCAGGATCGGGGCCACACCGCTCTTAATTCGGTGTGTGTCACGGTGCCTGGTAGGGAGTTTCACGTGGCACGCCATGGTTGGTGTGGTATCCCGTATGTTTCCCGTACCGTGATTTGAATATGTGGTGCGCACCGTAGCATAGATGCATCTGGAGCGCTGTACGAGTTAAGATGTCGGGGCAAACATGGGGACAACATGCAATGTGAACATGCACGTCAGTTTCGTTTTAAGAAGGGGGTTTAGCGGAGTAAGAAAAGGCCCCAGCTTTGGCTGCTGCATGCTAGCCCAGTGGATGCCAATCTCCTGCCATCGGCCGGGTGCTGATGGAACGGAGTAGAAGAAAAAGAAAGAAGAATATTGCGTTAAAGAATACAATTTCGGTAAGTGAATAGCTAACTAAAATAATTAGCGGTATGGTTTAGAAAGAATGGTTGCGACTCTGGATGGCAGTCGTGAGTCCGTCAAGCGTCAAGTCGGCGGAATAGCGCGATGTCCAGTGTGGGGAGCAAACCCATTCCTAGGTATGGTTTAGATCGCATTATTGTAATGGCCGCAGTTTGATTTCAAAAGACCATAGAAAGTGACGTGCTATCGTTCGAAAGTTTAGGGGTGTGGTACTGATGGGCCGGGAATGTACGGATCGGGTAGATTGTAGTGTTTTAATGGGCGTAGCTGTTGTATAAATAGAATGCTGAGATCATTAGAAGAGGACTGAGGAAGAGCAAAATGACAGGGGTGACAGTGTTGAAGCTCTGAGCAGACGGCGTCGGCAGTAGTGCCTACACAGAGAGTAGAAGAAGGGAGAAGAAAGGTCCCGCCGCCTCGAGAGTCGCCGTGCTTGCGAAAGGCTATGCCAACAGCAAGAAACGACGGAGCAAATATATCCCGTCGTTTGGAGCCCCACCGACAAGATGCGTCGACAGCTAGAGACCGCTGAACAGGCATCCATTCGGCAGGATAAATTACATGCTCTCATGCTTGTTTGGTATGCGGTCGGTAGGGCCATCGGTAGGGCCATCATCATGTACACACCAGCCTGGCCCTATCCCGTTGATGTTCCGTGCCATTCTGGCAAAGACTGCTGGCCACATGTTGAAACAGGGCTTGAAAATTTGAAGTCACTAGTACCGTAGCGTAATCTATTACAAGTATTATGTTTACTTTTACTTGGTAGAATGTACCTGTCTGAGAATTTGAGTTTTGAGTTATGTATCGATGTGTGTTTATGAACTAAAGTTTTGATTGTCATGCACATGTTTTTGTATTGCAAAGACGTTTCTATCAGTTCGAACAACACACATGATGACCTAGGCAATTATTAAGCATAGCGAGGGCTCCTTGGCGGTCAAGCCTTCAAGCCCAAGCGCTCTTTTTTTGTGCAATATCGAAATGAAAAACTAAATGCAATATAAACAACGATGAACAATTAAATTATTTATTTCAGCCAAGTATAAGTGGTGCCTATTGGTATCCTTTATTTCAGCCGAATAAAACTATTGTTTATTGCAATCGCATAATGCATGATAACCTAGGCAAAGAAGCATAGCGAGGGCCCTGAACTTTCAAGCTCTCTCGTTGGAATTTGATAATATGGAGGTGTATGTGGCAATTTTTCACGTAGGATTGCCTGCCACTTGCAGCACTGCATTGCCTTCTGTAACATGGGGGAAGCTGCGTGCTCAGGCCTGTAGCAGCTCCGTACTGGTTGGTCCAGTGAGACCTGACTTCCACAACTTTGCGTGCTTTTCTTGTGATGGGCGTATACATGGTACACGGTGTGTGTGTGTGTGTCCCCCACCCCCACCCAAACCAAGTTCATGGTTTCTGGCCCCAACACCTCTAACGATGATCTAGAGCCGCTCGCGATTCGAACTATGGAGATTGCCCATGTGTCGTCTTTTCGTTGCCTTGGATCCAACATACACAGCAATGGCCGATGTAGTAGTAGTAGTAGTATTTATTTTATTTACCATCGGATGCCTCAACAGTGATACACACAACTCTTAAGAGGGCCGATAACGGGATAAGTGGAAAGGAAAGGAAAAGAAAAGAAAAAATAGAAAAAATTGGAATTCAGACATCAAGCAGTACAGTAATCAAACACCAAGTCAACTTCAATCTTAGTACAAGAACTATCAAGATCATCTAAATCTGCTCACTAGATTCACCATCACCTGTCCCTCCCATGCTTCTCCGTCTTGACCATTACTTTTCTTCTTTTATTCACCATGGTTGGTTAACACCCACATCTCCCGTACTGGCTGATTTTCTTCTCATGCCATGAGGTGTTGTCTATAATAATAATAATAATCGAGAAACTCAACAGATTCCAAAAAGAAGGTCAAAATACTTCTTAAACGCCACTGGGTCTTTAAAAAGATCCCTGAGTTGGTTTGCAAATGTAGAGGTACGGTGGTGTCTGCGCCACTCGGCAGGTAGTGTATTAAAGAAAATTGCGGCACGATTAGAAAAAGAATTTACTCCATCAGTTGTCCGGTGCTTAG